TGTCTCTATCCCCTTCGCCACCCAAGCCGCACACGCCTCTTCTCACCTCAAAAGTGCCAGAGTCTCGAGCTTGCCCTGGTTCAACTCCGGTACATCAGCCCAGGTCTTCAAAGTCCTCAACCCTCGCATACGGGTTAACTTGCGCTCCGTCGCTTGCAAACCCCTAGCCCCGAGTGAACTACCTGTACATTTGTTCACCTCCTCCACAAAAAGCACTCACCCTCGACCTCGAATTCACTTACGCGCTAAAGGTAGCGGCTGTAAGTGCCTACCTACCGCCCATCGGTGGTCCGCAACCTCCGGTCACTCCCACGCCCACAAGCCCAACTTGGCTGCCCACTCCTCTTGATCAAGCACGCCAAAACCCGCCCCACGTTCAGTGTCACTCCGCCGCGAAATTCGTCGCTCGGCCTTGGTTATAGGGAGACACACACACCCCAGGCTATTATTACCTCTTTTCAAGCCTGTCACCATCCACTCTCTAGTCAACCCTCCCCGGTCTTAGCTCGCTTCCTTCCCCTAATCCCCGTCACGGACAACGACCATTCTTAACCATGTCGGGCTTCGTTTCCTCACCCACCGCCCTGCACCCCGCCCTCAGTAATCCGCTCCCGCCGCCTCTGCGCTTCTCCGAGGCAGTTAAAACCTCGCTCTCCGACCGACCCAAGAGCTCCAGCGCCGCCCACAACAGTGAGCGCCCATCTACGCCCGACTCCGCAGCTTTCCTCAGCCAATCTCTGCCTCGCAATGCCGCTTCGCTAGCAGAATCTTCCTTTCCAACTGAGCTCGTTCAACGCGGCACTGCCGCAGACGCTGCATCCGAGACTGCTTCTTGTTCGATATCTGGAGCCGCGACTGCGGCAACTATACCCACTGCCGCCCATCCCGAGCTACCGCCACCTCTGTCGCGTTCCTCCCCTGCTGCGCACCACGGCCACCCTCCCAAGGGCCACCGCCGTAACGCGCCTTCACACGAAGTTCCCCGCCAGACTATTATGAAAGCTCTTGCTTCGGTTGTCCGCAGAAACAAACCCGAAGCCCTTTCACTCACCGGCATGTTATCCGCACAGAGTGGTGTCGAGAACCGGCCCGCTACCTCGTCTTCTCAGAAGCTGGCCGACGCACTCAACGAGCTTGCCAACCGCAACATGACACCCACTACCGCGCTGCCCTCGCTGCAGTCTCCTTGCTTTTACCACAACCGCTTTGACGATGCCGTCAATATTGACAAGGTCCTCGAGGAAATCAAGAACGACGACTGCATGTCTCACTCAAGACTGGTCCAGACCGCTACAGGCGTCAGAGAGGTCTCCAAGCAGCTCCAGCGCCGTCCCATCAAGCGCGCCGTACGCAACGTCATGATTGTTACCAAGGCTCGCGACAACCAGCTCGTCTACCTCACTAAAGAGCTTGCGTCCTGGCTTCTGCGCACTCCGAGATACGGTTCCGATGTCGGCGTTAACGTTTACGTGGATGCCAAGCTCCGCAACTCTCGTCGTTTCGACGCGAACGGCCTCCTGGCGGAAAACCCTGCCTTCCAAGACATGCTCCGATACTGGACGCCCGATTTGTGCTGGAGTCAGCCTGAAAAATTCGACCTAGTCCTCACCCTGGGTGGCGATGGTACGGTGCTTTTCACCTCCTGGCTCTTCCAGCGCATCGTGCCTCCCGTCTTGTCATTCAGCTTGGGCAGTCTCGGCTTTCTCACGAGCTTTGAGTTCGAGAAGTATAAGCAGCATCTGGATCGCATCATGGGAGAGGAGGGTATGCGGGTCAACTTGCGCATGCGCTTCACCTGCACGGTGTATCGCGATGGTGCCAGAGGCGAGGAGGCTGAAGAGGGTGAGCAATTCGAGGTTCTCAATGAGCTAGTCATCGATCGCGGACCGTCTCCATACGTCTCCAACTTGGAGCTTTATGGTGACGATGAGCTCCTCACAGTGGTGCAGGCCGATGGATGCATCTTTTCAACACCAACCGGGTCTACTGCCTACTCGTTGTCCGCCGGAGGATCGCTTGTGCATCCCGACATTCCCGCCATCCTCCTGACGCCAATCTGCCCACACACCCTCTCTTTTCGCCCAATGGTCCTCTCCGACACCATGCTGCTGCGCGTTTCTGTGCCGCGCAACTCTCGTGCTACAGCCTATTGCGCTTTCGACGGGAAGGGAAGGGTTGAACTCAAGCAAGGCGATTACGTCACAATTACGGCGTCTCAGTATCCGTTTCCTACTGTCGTACGCACTCAGACCGAATGGTTTGACAGCGTTTCTCGCACTCTACGCTGGAATACTCGCGCTGCCACGCAGAAGGGGTTTGATTCTTCAGCCAACAGCTTGTGCCCCTCGGAGGACGGCAAGGACGAAGAGCCTGAGTGGGACATCGATACTGATTCGGCTTGCTACGCCAGTGAAGACGGCAGCATCAGTGCGAGTCCCCTGAGAAGACAGATGAGTCTCTTGGGTATGTGAATTTTTTCCTCTCAGAGGAGACAGAGAGAAAAGCAAACGCATGATGATTCCCCACACCGCATTTTTTTTTTTAACCCGTGGCGAAAGGGCGTTCCAAAGACCTATTCATCGACCCACCTGAGCGAGGCGGGCTAGACGCATTGTTTTGACGTTTTGATGTTTGTTTTTCAAAGCTCCGGCTTCATAGACATTGGCAACGCTAGCCAGGGAGCGAACAATTGTGTCGAGGGCAGTCAGAGGCCCGAATTAGACACGCCCACACGGAAAAAACTCATACTAGACAGCATTGAGGATACTTGGAAATGTCATCCCCTGGCATGCATTTAGTGTGGTTCTCGGGATGAGCCACACGGTGGGAAGGGTGAGAGTAACGAGTGGAAAGTCCCATCGACATAGAATCCATACCGCACCAGCTGAATAGCAGATTTGGTTAAGTACAGAAACAATGGTCAATAATATCTAGCTCTATGGAGTGTGCGGGGTGTGTATGCTTGCGCGCGCTTTTGTGCAGAACATGGCCGTGCTGGGTAGATCGAAAGATGACGTGAATGGGAACATTGCTTAGCCTTTCGTTTAGAAGCCATCTCTCTAAAAGAGACACTGGGTCTTCAACCGAGAATATCAATGATTGGCCGGTCGTGAAGATGGGGCGGGAAGAAATGTCGATGGATATCTTCCAGTAGTGCATGATTCTTCGCTCTTTCGTCTTCGCCTCACCCGGTTCGCTGTGGCGTCACTATGCTAGTCTACATACAACAGACAATGACTGCGCGCATTCAACCAACATGTTTCAAAACATAGCCATATCCAAAGCCACACGACTCAATCGGACTCAGTCGTCCAGTATGCACAAGAGGCCCCCCAATCTCGAAATACCATTACCGAGGACCAAGTGCCGGCGTTGGTTTACCAGGCATCGGCATTATCTGCTTGCCCCATACCCAGTTCATACACCATGTGAGAGAGATTTTGCTCAAAGCTTCTCTGCAAGAGTCGCTTGTTCCAGGAACTCTTCGGTTTGTTTCGTACACAAGCCTTATTAGCTCATGGACCGCTCTTTTGCCTGAAGATGGCATGACCTCGACCAAGACAAGCATGGGGCATTTCTGCTGTCATGCCGTACGTGAACTTGTTTTCGTAAGCAAGGCTGGCGTGGAATCACCCAAGCACCGAGCCATCACCTCCAGTTCCCTTGACTCAAAGACAGCAAGCCTGCGATGCAATCCATGTCCCCCTTTTTGCTCGGGCTGACTTCACCACGCATAAATATTTCAACCTCATCCGCAGGCTTTTGCGCTGACAGGCCTTCATCATCCTCGAAGATTGACATGTCCTTCCCAGAATCTCTCCGACCCATAGCCGGCATCGTCCTGGCGCGGCTGCCACTAAAGATGACTGGTCCTGGATGGTCCTGAAGAATGCGACCCGTCCGCCTCGCGTTGGGCTTGTTAGCAGCTGTCGTAGGCAATGGCGCCCCGAGTTCTCCGGCTGGCGATATGCGACGTGCGTTCCCCTCTTCATCTGGAAGCCAATTTTCCTTATCAGAGTCACCCGATGGGGACACCAACATGTTGACTTTGACTCTTGCGGGTTCCTTCTCATCCGTCGGCCCGTCAGCGTCAACAAGCGATGTTTGCATCCTGGCTACACTCGATGAGGTCCGGCACAGCTTAGGCTTCTTGGGCTGCTGGGGCCGGGGTGTCGGCCTGCTTGCTGGAGAGTTCCGCTTTGAGTTGTTATTTTGTAGGATGCCACTGGTTGAGCGTAAAAGACTGATTGCGGCGACGGCCGAACCATTTGACTCGTTCTCTGCCTGTGCAGTGAGTTCGTCCCGGGTATCAGCATCACAACATAGTTCCCAGGCATGGGCATCTCGGGATCGTCCGCGAGATAGAGTCGGTGGGAGAGTGTCAGTGAGAGCCGAGATGGGAGGTAGGGTCACACTCGGAAGCGCACTGTGACTACGTTGGAGAGAACGAGGCTTGACTCGCGGCAGACTTGGCAAGTCTGAGAACAGTCCCGTAGGCTGCAACCGCGGAGGCGAGGATTCATTCGACACGAGCTCCGCTTTGCCCTCGAGAGAAAGTGACAGGCGCACATGTGATTGGGGGGGAGGAAGAATAGGTGCTGCAGACGCGGTTGACTCGCAGGATGGAGGGCATTGCTCAGATCTGATGGGTGTGAGTTTGGTCTTCGTCAATGCATGAACACAACGGAAGCCATACCTGGGAGTATCGTCTATCCTGCGATCGAGCGTCGACGGCGTGGAAAAGGAACTTGCAGGGTTCCACCGCTTAGACATAAGCCCTATGGAGCTTGAGAAGGAAAACGAGGATGAGGTCTGCGGCTGAGAGGCAGGGTCTGACTGTTGAGTTGAGGGGGTCTTCAGAGCGCTGTCTCCCGAAATGCCAATTCCATGGGATGGACTGACGGTGCGAGGACCGTCGACGGCTTCCTTCGCGCCCGTGTGAACAGGCTTGGCTGGTGTCTCCATAGGCGCAGAAGCGCTACTCATAGCAGCAGCTTCGACTATTGGTGACGTCTTATCCTCGCCGACCGGAGAGCTATATGATGCAGGGTCAGAGGAGAGTATCTGCATTCCACCGTAACGGAGAGCTGCGATTTCCTGTGCAGAGAGGGGACGCGACTTGCGCCGGTCATTCTGGCGACGGTTTTGAAACCAGATCTTAAAGACGGATCAGCAACCATTTGATAAAAGTCTGTGTAAAGCATTATCTTTACTTGAACCTCCTTCTCGTTGAGGGAAACGCGCTTCACGATATCCAGACGCGCCGCCTTGTCTGGTTTTGGGTTCGCGAGGTAGGCATTCTCAAGTATGCTCTTATCTTTGGCGCTATGTGACAATGTCAGTGACTGACGCGTGGTCACGCGACTCAATTGAACTCACGCAGTCCTCTTCCGCTTTCCCTTTGGGTGCTTCTCGGGCTCCTCGCCGTTCACTATTGTTTTCGACGTTGTTGATGATGTCGCGAGATCAGACGACGAAATGATGAGATCGGGTGCGGAATGCTCTAGTTGAGAGAATGAATCACTCGAGGACGGAGGGGAAGTTGCCGCGGCAGCAGTCGGGACTGGAGGAGAGGTGTCGGAGGCGGGCATGTTGGTGATGGTCGAGCTGGATTACGGTTGGATGGCAATCATGGTCCGGGGAAAGACGAAGTATCCGGAGGGGCTAGGAGGATAACAGACACACGATCTTGTAGCACTGGCAAAACAAAGGAGATTGGGGAGGTGCAGCAACGAAGCAGAAGAGCAAGCCAGAAGGAAGAGGGAGAACGATAACGAGAGGTTCTGGGAACGAATGAGGTGGGGAAATTGAAGGTCGACACGAGACGGCGCGGTCATGCGTAATTAGGTACGGCGACGTGCGGTCTGTTGCGGCGTACCCTTGGTGTTGAACTTTAGCGCGTCTAACCCCATCTACCTACCTAGCCAGATACCTGGCGTACCTCGGGCAAGGTTCAGCGTACCTCAGTGGTTCGGTGCCCTCCACTTCGTGCGCCGACTGAACTCGGACACTGAGTGGAGGGTAGGTAGGTAGCCTATAGGTACCTTAGGTATGTCCCACCCCGCAAGCTTAGGGCAGCAGCGCCAGGCACGAACGTAGGTAAGGTAGGTGCAGCGCGATCGCGGCACGGGTTTCCATGGCCCACCTCCAGTCACGTAAATCCAGTGCCAGGCACCTTACGGATACCTACCTTACCTTACCATCGTATTCAAGCTATCGCAGACGAAGAATTGTATTGCTTGAGATACATCTCTTAGCCTCAACGTACATCGGTCTAGGTACCTATCCAGGCAGGGAGGGCCACAGGATAAAGTGATGTGGCTGAGGCACATGACAGTCAACAACAAGGCACATTTGACGAGGCTCGGACCAGTCAAGTCGCGTCTTCGTTGTCAATTAGGAAATCAAACAAAAACAGTACCCATCTCCAGGGGCTACACTTTCAGCAAATACCTACCTGCTGCATGCATGCATGTCCCTGAGACACCATGCCAATTACGAAGCAACCTTTCCGTCTTGTTTTTCTGACTTAGTCGCTGAATCTCGTGGCATCTCGAAGGCTAGTTACCAACTTCAACTTCATTGGGCTGTACCTCGCAAGGCTTGCCGCCAGGTACCAATTGCCAGACAATGATGTCTGAGGTATATGCAAAGCTGATGTTGCGTTGGACGTAACCTACGCCGGCGCACTGAGGACCTACCGGTTCTGTGTCTGACTGAAAAAGTCATGAAAATTGTATTAGACCTGCAGCCAACCAGAAGGGCAAAGATAGAAACGTCTCCCGATGACCGCATTCAACAGCGCGGTCGCTTCGTTTTTCAATCACGATCCTTGCGATCTCGCTTCTAATTATGCACTAGGCCAAGAGAGGGGACTTTTGAACCCTGTCTAATCCCCTAAAACGCGTCGCCAACCCTGGTTATGACTGTTCGTGCCTGTGCCCATGCCCGTGCTCGCACCGTCCACCGTCTGCGTCCCTTGTTTACTGCCTCTCTCTGCTCCATCCCCAGATGGCGTCGCGACGACCTAGGGTACTAGGTAGGTACGAATGCTCCGGAGGATGCGGCGAGCTGGGATGCTAGTCCACGGACACGGTGACCGATGTAAATAATCAGACACGCAATTGTCGAGTTGATGGTTAGCCGTCGCCTACCGCCGCCCCTTGTAACCAAATGTACCGATGATCCTCGAAGAAGACAGGCCAAGCCGGTGACACTAGATCTTCAGCTGAATCCGCGGAAGACGTCAGTGACTATACCGGCATTATTCTCCCCTTTTTTGACCACTAATTTTGGGTGCGGAAACTGTTATTGGTAATTGACATGCTTATCGAGTTGCGCACCGACTAAGTATGAGATTGCTATCTAATTATTCGTATCGCGTCGTCTGCCACGGCTCGCATAGGGGAATGGAAGGGAGCGGTTCAACCCCTGACACCTTGAATATGGAGTGAGAACTCAGTGTTCATCTTGTAAGGCGTCGAACTACCTACTCAAAGTTTGCTGGCCGTCTAGCAGCAAACGTAAGGCCCTTCCATTCTTCTCCGAGTCTACCAAATGAACCGGCCGTGCCGTCTTCTACCATCATGGTCATAGCTAGCAATTGCCAGTCTGCGCCAAAGAATCCCGGTTCACGATGCCCTGTTGGCCACTCCACCACAGTCGGATCATGATCCTTATATCATCTCTATCTTTACAGATCCTCGTCCGACAGCTCACCGGGCAGGGGCATGTTGGCAGCCTCATCCATCTCCTTGCGATACTGCTCGAGAAGCTTCTCGTCAACCTGGGCGGTAGGGGGGGCGAGAGCCGGCGCGGCAACAAATTCCTAGCGATCCGTTAATATCATTGCATCTTGAGCACGCGTAGGCTTATACTTACCAGAGCAGGGTTGCCAACAAGCTTGCGCGCGAGCCAGAGGAAGGGCTTCTCGAAGTTGTAGTTAGACTTGGCGGAAATATCGTAGTACTGGAGGTTCTTCTTGCGGTGGAAGGTGATGGTCTTGGCCTTGACCTTGCGCTCCTTCACGTCGACCTTGTTGCCACAGAGGACAATAGGGATGTTCTCGCAAACGCGGACAAGATCGCCTGTGGATATTGAGTAAGTCATGCTGGCAGTAATATTTGGTTCCGTCCAGAAATTGGCGAAATCGCTCGTGGAGGGGTTGACGTACGGTGCCAGTTGGGGACGTTCTTGTAGGTGATACGGGAGGTGACATCGAACATGATGATACCGCACTGGCCGTTGATGTAGTATCCATCACGGAGACCGCCAAACTTCTCCTGGCCGGCGGTATCCCAGACGTCGAACTGAATCTGACCGAAGTTCTGAGGTAAGAAGGAAAAAATCAGTTTCCGTCACAAACTCGAGACCGCAGCAAAATTGCCCCTTTGGGGGCACTTACCGTGGTGAAACCTAGAGGGTGAACCTCGACACCCAGGGTAGCCATGTACTTCTTCTCGAATTCACCAGTCAAGTGGCGCTTGACGAAGGTGGTCTGGAATATTTTTCACGGTCAGCAACAGAAAACTTACGATGTCCAGTATGATTTCGTGGGGACATAGTGAGGGAGCAGCCGCAGCGACGCGCGCGCGATAAGAGGCACGATGTCTGAACGTCCACAACTGACCTTTCCAGTACCACCATCGCCAACAAGGACGAGCTTGAAGGTGGGCGTCTGCTGAGCGGCAGCCATATTCGCAATCGCTCGATGAGTTGGCTCAGTGCGAGTCTGTTGTAAACAAGCGGGGCTGATCGGGGGGTTAGCAATCGGCGCAAAAGAAACAAGTAGGCGATGGCGAGAAGGAATTTCGCAGTGGGTTTCCATGCAGATGGTAAATCCGGGTGGCTCGTACCGTGGAGAGACAGCGTAGACGGGCTGTGGGCGTTTGACGTGTAGGAATCGTCACCGACTGATCGACTTTGGGGGGTGGTTGTTTTTGAGGATGGCGGGGAGCTTGCAAGGAAGCCGTACTTCTTAAGCGAAAATTTCAGTCAGGCAGGCCAACGGAGTCGGGTAGGCACAGTTGGGCTAGACGCCTGTCACGTGCATGGCCGCCTCGTCATAGCGGGGTCCCCGTCAAGGCCTGTAAAAATCGGTGCAATCACTCCCGTCCTGTCTTAGGCACGTACCCAATTGCTTAGGTACCTGGTAGAAGGTCACGTGCGTAGGGTGGTCCAGTAGTCAAGTAGCATGCAAGAGCAGTCTGGCCGGTCAAATCCAGTGAGGTGCAGGCAGGGCACTTCACCTTCTCTCAGGCAACTCAGGTAAAGGAAAGACTTGGAAGAAATTCGGAAAGTTTCCCATCCCGGTAGGTCTGGCGCTAGTCCCCTTGTGGATTTACAAAATTTATTCACCGGTCCCACTAATTAGTCTGTCACTGCTAGGCTGTAATTACCTACATAGTACCTAGGTCCTCGATAACGAGGGGTCGCGACACTGCATCACGGGTTGCGCCGCTGGTCAGTCGACTTGTGTGGCTGTTCCCCAGAGTGTGGCAATATTTACTGCTACTTGGCATCTGGATTTATACGGCATCGTTGGGTGTTCCTTACACAAACACACACGACAACGCGAGCCTGACATCGGATTCCCGCCTGCTGCTTTGAGAAATACTCCCATTGGTTGATTATCTACAGGCAGCAAAAAGTAAAGCCTTGCTCCGTGCCTGGGTAGTTGCCAACGCTCGATCATCGTATAGGTGACGATTGCAGCCTAAAGACCTCGTTGTATTGTTGTGAGTCAGACGTCACGATTGAACCATTGCGTGCTTTACAACGCAGAGCGTACCAGCACATCACGATGGCTTCTGTGCCAGTCTAGCGTCTCATCCTCACAGTGGAATGATATGACAGCCCAACAAGCCTCGGCCGCCCCAGTTGCGTGTCGGCGTCAATGTGAGTTGTAGTTCTTGCCGTGTGCCTGAACCAGGCCTCGACACCCGAACCGGCACCGGTTGCTTGCAAGTTGTCAGTTTGGCACGTCCGCGGCTGTAGACCCGGCCAAGTGGATTATTTACTTACACCTTCATTCCCCTGGACACACTCGGCAACCTTCTTGAGATTGTCATGGTTCGCAAGGCTGACGTAGCCAATATTCCGAATCTCGTCATTGGGCTTTAGACCAGCCTCATCGGCTGGGCTGCCAGGGATAACACTGTTGACTTTGGCGAAAGGCTCCTGTAGTGTCTCCAACGGCACATGGTCCGGCAGAAAGCCAATGTCGCCTCTTGATGGTGCCGGCTGCGTCTCGTCATCTTCCTGCAGACTCGCAAAGTGTTCGTGAAGATGCTTCTCCACCAATACCATGAGGTCTTTGTAGTCGTTGCGGAGGTGAATTATGCAGGCTCTAGTTGTGCGCACTGTTTGTCCACGGTCAGCCGGTTGACTGGTACATTTGCAACCTGATGTGCATTGCGTACCTTGGGCGACGTCAATATCTGCTCTTGGGAAACCGTCACGGGTAGTGAGAGGAGTGCTCATGTCAACACCATGCTAAAAACAGGTTAGATCGCTATCATGTTCATGCCGGTGCCGAGGCGAGATTAGGGGGTCCGATTTACAGAATCAAGGACTGCGCCGAGAGCTTTGAGCTCGGCCTCCATGTCATCTTTCTTCTTCTGCAACTCGGCAAAGTTCAAGCGGTGGAGGTGGCCGTTTTTCGCGGCGCTGGTGGTCGGTCCCGAGGGTACCGTGGGAGCGTGGATGTTATTCATTCTGAGCGGCAATCCCATTGTCTTCGGCAGGGATACCACCGGCGAATTTCCAGCCGCAGTACCCTCGTTCGATAGCTTCGACGACTGCAGCCTCTCTGTATGCTCTAATGTCCTGTCGCAACAAGGTTGAGGAAGAAGGTGTGTAGATGGGACATGAGACAACGTGAATCGCCTTTGGATCAGTTCGTAGGTACTGTTGGACTATTGCTCAGCGTTGCATTGTAGTGGTGATAAATACAATGCTGACGGCAACAGCTCCGCAATGTCACACAGTACCTAGCTAGTTGCGGTACCTCGTGTGCCTGCCTGATTGCGTGCGCAAACCTAGCATTCGGCAGGCGGTCTGCAGAACACGGGCATGTACAATACACCTCCACTTGGAAATGACAGCATCAGCCGCTGGGTACATGACTAAGGGAACGAGCTCAGATAAGATAACATAGCCCAAAGCAACTACCTTCACTACCTACCTACCTAGGTACCTGAGGTGCCGCGACCGTTCCCACCTGAAGCAAGAATCAAACCGCGTCGCAGTGTTGCTTTACCTTCAGCAGATATCCCAACTTAGCGTCCACATTCTGCTGGCTCTCCGCGAGCTCCCTTGCCAGAGACCAAACTCCTTCGATTTCTACGTCATTAGCCTACTTTGTGCTCGTGATTCGAGCAATTCGCCTCCAAGATGGCAACTGGCATCGATGCGAAATTGCTGAAGTCGACGAAGTTTCCGCCGGAATTCAACCAAAAGGTTGACATGCAAAAAGTCAACCTTCAGGTGATGAAAAAGTCGGGCCTTTTGCTTGCCACTCGCTGCTCGTTCAATTGCTAATTCGTCTCCTTTTTACAGGTGGATCGCAAGCAAAATATCCGACATACTAGGGAGTGAGGACGATGTCGTCATTGAGCTTTGCTTCAACTTGATCGAGGGCTCTAGATTTGTCTGTCTTACTCCCGCATTGCAACCTCTTTATGCTAACAAATGACAGCCTGACATCAAGTCTTTGCAAATACAGCTCACCGGATTTTTGGATAAGGATACCGCGCCGTTTTGCAAGGAGCTCTGGAAGCTTTGCCTCAGTGCCCAAACCAGCCCCCAAGGGGTTCCGAAGGAACTACTCGAGGCCAAGAAATTGGAACTGATCCAAGAGAAGGTGTGTGCACAGGTTGACAGCCCATTGCTGCAGAAACAACAGCTGATAGCTCAATCAGATTGAGGCAGATCGAGCCGCAGACGAAGCTCGCCGCCGACGCGAAGACGCAGAAAGACGGGAACAAGAAATCAGTCGACTGAGGGAACGCGACCGTGGGGACCGTGGACGCGGTCGTGGCGACACTTGGCGTGGCCGTCGCGGAGACAGGGACTACGACCAGCGAGGCAGGCACGGCGGACGATTTGGCGAAAACAGATCACGGTCCCCAGCCCAGAGATATCGCGAACAGAGGGAAAGAGGTTCTTTTCGTGGCAGTCATCGTGATAGCTATGTTCCAAGAGACCGAGTCGCGGTGGGGAGACGACCCGGTCGTCGCCGTTCGCCGTCAGTAGCGTCAGCATCCTCGCGGGCCACGTCTCGGAGCACGAGTGGTGAACGCAAACGCAGTTCTAGTCGTGGTTCTCCGTCTCCCCCGCCTCGAGGTTCTCGGCGAGATCGCAGTTCCTCTGTTAGACGGCCTTCCAAGCAGCGGTCCAGGTCCCCGAGACGAACAGCGCCCGGGCACCGTGATACGCGACGGAAGCGGAGCCCTTCCAGAAGCCGTTCGACCGCTTCACCTTCACCCAACAGGCGACCAGTCACCAAGCGTCGCAGGTACTCCTCATCTAGAAGCAGATCACCAGTACTCGACAGGAGATCCCGGAGCAGATCCTCGAGCAGTGCGTCATCGCGAAGATCGAGATCCCGAAGTCGCAGCCCCAGACGCCAGTCATACAGCAATCGTGCTGAGAATCGCGTACAAGGACGTCAAAAATGTCGCAGCAGCAGTGCTTCTGGTCTGCCGGACAGCGACAAGGGCGGTACCAAATCAGACCACGATGGGCAACAAGAAAGAAGACGTCGGAGAGACGAACCAGCTGGGGCCAAGCGTCGTGGTACATCATCGGCGTCGTCGAGGTCTGGACATGGCTCTACGTAGGAGGCTTTGCGTCCAGGCCTCTGAGGATGGCGGGAACACAGATGAGAAGCTCGAACAATGGACCTCCCGGCAAGCCTAAAGCTAACCGTCTACAAGGATTTGCCAGCCGGACGATACTAGCAGTTACGATTGCTTGCCGGAAATCACTGACTATGTGGAAGACCGACATCGTGCAGCGCCTAACCCGGTACGTTCGCCAATAATCGGTACGCAGCTTGCCGTTCTACATTGCTGGCTGAATGGATAGCGCAACCCCATAGCAAGTGATAAATGACATCCCTGATTACTATTATTCCTAATGAATAGTGAATCGAGGCGCACACATGTTTAGTGACGCACTCATGTTCAGTGACCTTCTCGAAAAGCTTGATATTATATGCGAAAAGTCTCTGTAAGAGACGGCGTGGGTCCGAGCTTGATTACCTGCTTCGTGGAAGGCTAGCTCAGTCACAGGTGTAATTGAGGTGCCAATGACCACAGTCCTGTCAGTATTCGCACCTTACCTCCTTTGAGAGCTGCGCACAGGCGCCTTATATTAGCGCCTCAGCGCCCAAGTGCCTGCCTTAGGTAACTACCTACACCCGCCCCCCACTTCCCAGTACAACCTGTCACCTCACTAGGTAGGTAAAGTACCTAGGCAGGCACACCGCTGCGGTTCCAGAACGCTCGACGTTCCTTGCCTTGCTCACCCCAGGCACCGGTTGGACAAGCGTGCCGAAAAAGCAAATTCCAGAACGATAGCACCATCATCTCAGCCTCGCGACAACTCCTTCGCCGTGCCCCCTCATCGGACACGATTCGATACGCCCGTTCGGCCAAACGGTGAAGAGGGTGGATTGACTTCACGCGGCACGTTCGTCATACTCACGATTTGGGGTTTGACCCGAGATCTTCCAGTACAACAGCTTCTGCCGGCAGTGCCCGGAACGAGGCCTTGAGCGCGTCGAAGCTGCAAATCCGCCACTTTCGTTCGTCAAACAGCGTGTCGGATCATGATCGACTCGTGATTGACTGATATCTGTCTATCTCTTCTACATCCGTAGCCTCTATCCTCACAGCTAGCTGTAAGAGCGAGCACTGCCCAAAGCCATACTCAAGGTACAGCGGCTAGAACGAAGAGGTGTGCCATCCGAGTTATAAGACTCGGCGCTTGTTGTACTTGGTACACATCAAGACTTTGACAAGTGTTCATGCTCTGACCTCTATGTTCCCCCTAAACCCTGGCCCTACTCTTCTCCTCATCTTCTACTATCTTCCCACGATCACTGTTGCCGTTTTCCTATTGGCAACATATTTCATCTCTGTTGGCTTGTCTTTAGCTCGGCCCACAATTTCATCCTCAACAAAGGGAAACCATGAGCTTACCATGGTCTGAGAGCTGCTGCAGCACAAGCCACTGCTTGAAGGCATCGCCATTGCTCGATGTCTCTGCCGAAGACGAGAGGAGTACGCTGTTCGAGCGCGATTCGACCCTCGGGAAGTCGTCTGCTCTCGTTGACATGGTGCCGGATGGTACCGGCGCTCCCGAGCAACCGAAATCCGGCTTGCGTGATGCTTCGGCTCAGATGCACAAACGCAAGTCTGTTCACAGTTCCTTTGATATCGGAGATCATCAAGGCGGCCAAGTCAATTTTAAGAAACCCAGGCGTGGCTCTGGGGAAAAGCCATTATGTCAGAAGGGTTACGTCCTTCCATCCACAGTTTGGCAACATATCTTCACCTTAGTGCATCCTAAAGATTTGGGCAACTTATTACAAACGAACAGATTATTCAACATGTGTCTCGATTCGCGATCGTCAATCAGCGAGCAGCGAATTCATGAGACGGTTACAGGTTGTTGCAAACCTATCACGCCTGACATCATCTGGCAATCGTCTCGGAGGCTCTTCTGCCCCGGGATGCCGGCACCCTTACAAGACAAGACAGAGCTCGATATGTGGCGCTTGTGTTGCTCCGTAGTCTGTGAACGGTGCGCAACGGTCAAGGAAACTCATAAGCGAGACAAAATCACTTCCTGTCGGCAAGGGCCAGGGGTTGATGGGTTGGCGACTGTATTTGCTTTTGGCACTGTCTGCTGCGGCCAGTGCCTACTGAAAGACTCCGTCAAGGCGAGTTCTATGCTATACGTCCTGTTGGGCTTGAATTAACCGGTCTCTAGGAGATTGATCTGTTGCTCTCATCAACCACGCCCTCGTCACTCATCCCTGCTCTTCCTTTTGTATTTGTTACGAATGAGCTTCATGTGGTCTCGCCGAGCACTCTGTCGGTCGAATCCAATGAAGAAATGCCACAAACGACAAAAGTCTTTTGGGCCCCGCACATTGAGACAGCTAAGGCCGAGCTTCAACAGGTACAAGGTCTAGGTGCCGCGGCAGTCGAGGAATGGCTCAAGGGTTTGGAAGCCCGAGGGAAAGATGCTAGGCAAGACGCCTCGCGATGGGAGAAATGGGCTCTCACTGGAGGCTTGTTGCATATGCGGCAGCCTGCTTCGTCAGCACCAACGATCATCGCGGAGGACCAGCCCTTCGAGATCCAAGTTCTACACGACGAGCTTGAAGCTACCGTGCCTGCCGACACCTTGAGCCGGTCAAACATGATAGCGAATGCACCGCAGACAGTATCTCAAGGTCGCCAAGAGAGGACTCGAGAAGAGGCTGCCGCGCGAAAAGCCTTGCGACGCATCGAGATTGAGCGGCGGGCTATGTTGATTGATCCGCCACTGCCGCCGAACGTTCTCGTGCACATTCCCTCATTTCAGGCAGCTATTCAGATCACCGCAACGCTCGATGACGATGCTTGGTGTCTCCTCCAGCCGAGATTGCTTGCCCAGCGCGCTGGCGCTGAGCAGGAGGAAAATAAGAAGAAACTTGCAAACATTCAAAGGCCGGTTTTTGAAGCAGCCGAGCCCGCACCAGTGGAAGTTTCGGATAAGGACTGGGACGACATCCAAGGCCCGGTACGTGCGAGCATAGCCAAGTACGCCGACGAGACCATTCGGAGCAATTGGGCCAAGGGCCGTAAAGTCAACAGGGAGAATAGCCCGCGATTTGCAGCTGATGTCCTGGTCTCTGTGCGGGCCAGATTTTACTCAGACGTGGCAAAGAACGCCGCAGATGCCATTGCAAATGGCCAACAACCACCAGCCGACCCCCCACAGGGACCCTTCACACAAAAGCTGACTCTCGAAAACATGAAATGGGTGTTTGATGTGAAAATCAAGGCCCACACCGAGTCTCACCGCAAGGAGTTGTTTTTGTGCAACGGTTGTGACAGTAATAGATATTACGGCTTCGAGGGTGTCATACAGCACTACGCGGCAAAGCATACCAAAGCTCTGAGTCTTGGTAATGTCGTCGTTCATTGGAGGGCAGAGTGGCCACCAGAGTCGCCATTTAGTACCTATCCTCGAACGTCGAAGAAACCGCGCCACAATCCATCGCATGGGCCCCAGCAACAAGGAGCTTTTGGTCCGTCGTCACATCTAGGCCACGAAGCTTTCTTTGCGAACGGAGGCAATCCCGCTCCGATACAATACCCTTTCTCAGCTGGGGCTTCGGCGCAAGCAGGCCCTCCCCCACAACGTGCTGTGTCATACGGTCCAACTCCGTCATATCACGGAGTTGGTGTCCTCGATTCCGGCATTTACGGCCCTCCAGCGTTCGTTGCAGGTGCATCAGTATCGTACCCATCTGCGCCTCCAGGACATGGGCTATTCGATCATGGCCCGCCGCCGGAGTTCCCTTCAGTTATGATGGCGCCGCCTTTCCTTGCCACAACTCAGTATACTGCAAACAGTGCAGCTGATTTTCACCCCAGTGCTCAGCCGCAATACCAAGTGTCCCAAAGCAGCCTGTATCAGCCGACATATCACGCTCAGCTCGAGAATCTTGTGCGTAACGCAAGAGGTGTTTGGAACACGCTCTCCAGCATCAAGGACATACCAGGGCCTTTGAAGGTCTGCGTTACATTTTACCACGTAGTGAAACGCTTCCGATTGGCTTTCTCAGAAACGCCAAGTCTTCGAATGTTCAACGACGGTCTTTCGAACCACAAAGGTATGCGTCCCGTCCGGAACGTGAATGGCTTAATGTGCCGAGCTTGCACACTGGGTCTGGGCAATGCTCCGCACGTCTTCGTGGAGAGAAAGACCTTCTCTCTGCCTCAGCTCACCAATCACTTCGAGAGTCTCCATCTCGGCCTTCAACATGCCGAACCCCAGGGCCGAATGGATATGGACTGGACGCAAGACATGCTGTTGCTACCAGAACTGCCTGGGCTAGGTGCTTTCAAGGCGACTCTTGGAACTAGCGGTCATAAGTTCAATTTAGTACACGAAGCTGTTCCCTGGGTGTTTGATCATAAAAGAGAACCTATTCGCCCATGGCCCCGAGCTGACGGATCTGGTAACGAGTTGCGAGAGCCGGACCGGGAAGAACCCGGGTATATTCGACAGCAATGCGATGCGCAGATCTGGAAGGAACGAATCAAGGACGACGAGATAGTGGCGGCATCTCGCAGCTCCCATGCTGAGTCACATGGGGATAGCAGCGCTATGCAGCAATTTGGTCCAGCCCACAAGTTGAACCCTGAACAGAGTATTTTACATCTGGATCGGCATTCTAATTTGTCGGGAGACGGCAGTTCTCGTGGGCAGTCTCGTAACTCCAGCCTTTACCTTGCTGAGCTGCATACCGATTCATATCCGAGGCGCGGCTCGCAGGACTACTCAAGATTCTACACCAGGTTCGACCGGGCAGAGTCACTTAGGCCTTATGGTTTCCTCCCGCAAGACTCATTGACCCAATCAGATGGGGTGGCGCTTGTGGAGGGAAGGTCCGCCTGTTCGACCACGCGGCAGTCAAACGAGCCTGATGGCTTCAATCTTACTGCTGCTCTGGAGTCACACCTAGCCCGAGAGCGCGACGAGCCCGCGCGGTACCAGGCATATCAACCACTGAGCAGAGTACGTGGTGAGGTCTGGGAAGGACCAACACACGAGATCGACTCGGTCTTGGACAGCGAGCACTATCAAGTGATGGAAAGCCGGACACCTCCTCGCCATCTAGCCCCACGTGGAGGAAAGCACCGCTACTCTGCATCAAGTGATTTGCCTGTGGACCCATTTCACGATGATCCTTTTAGGGCTTCATGCCCACGACGAACGCCAACGGGGCCTGACTTGTCGGGCCATGTTGGCGTCCGACAGAGTACTGGAAGCTTTAATACCCGCGAAGCACTGCCAGCGCCCCACGAAATCTCGTACGAAGAAGCATACGAAATAGTCCATGTGAGGGATGCAGAGGGAGAATATGTGATCAGGCGGCCGGCCAGGTATGCATCGCATAGAGAAGACTATTCAGCAGGCAGAGGCCGGGAAACACACTCGACGGCTCGACGCAGATCAGACTACACGTCGCCCCAAGAGGTCGCGCCGACTGTGCAACCGTCACTAGTTCAGATGCGACGATCTCGGGCACCCCCAAGGCAAGCACCACAGTATATCTCTCATTACGAAGAATACGATCCCAGGAACCCAGCTCACGTTTCTCACCGTGGTGGCGGTCGCCATGTCGGACACTGAGCAAAAGCTGCTTGTTGGGGTACACAAGGGATTGGTCGGGGTTTCATTTGTTTAGAGGCCTAATTAATAGATTGCTGCTTTGCTGGTCGCTAGGGCCCTGCCTGTGTAGACGCATATCTAAGTGAGTCTAGAAATCCAGACACATATTTCGAGCGAAGGACCACGTAGAAGGTGCACTGAAATGAGATGTTTAAAGCTGAGGCCCTTGTATTACACACGTATTCGCTTTTCAGGCACAGCAGAGGCACACACCGCTAGCAACGCTGTGGGACAGATGACCCAACCGTGTACAATAGTGTCGATCCTCACAGCATTCCTGACCGTGTCCGTAGAAACGCCAGGGACCTGACCTAGGTCCTCACCATGCCCACTTCGCGGATACTGAAATAAGAAGAGTTGACAGGACTAGTGTAGACAAGAGGCGCATGATTCGCCAGCATCTGTTTCTGTTCCAACACATATCTATAACACTTCGCCAATGATCTTCGCTGCCTCCCTGTATGTCTGGAGCAGCTTCTCACACTTCTCACGCTCCTTCTTGACACCGTCGTCTTCGTACAACAGCTCCTCGAAAAGGACCTCCTTGTAAAGTTCGCTGACAAGTCGGTTTTGGACAACGTCCTTGCAGTGGTTCACCAGCAGGTGCATGACAGCCTTCGGGACTTGATCAGCGATCGACTCGCGCACGATGTTGAAGTACGAGGAAATGAGTGCTCGGATAAGCTCCGTCTCCATGGCTTCCCTCTCCGTCATGGCTGGTTCGCCACCTGTCGCGCCCTGGAGTGGATGTAAGTATACGGAATTCATTAAGGGGCTTGATGTGTTGCCAAGACAACTTACGAATGGCGCTCCAAAGTCTACAGATCGGTTCGAGTTGGGGAAATCCAGCTCGTCTTCCCGAACCGGGGGCTGGGTAGGGGTCCGCAAAGCCACCTTTTCTTCGGCCCGGCGGATGCTTTGCGAGAATGTGGGCTCAGAAGTCTGGCTTACATGGCGGGCGATGGAGGAGTTGGGCGTGGGGGACATGCCCTGGGGTGTCCCAATAGGCGAAGCACCGTCTTTGCCAAAGAAGTAGGTCAGGAACGAGTCGCGAGCACCGCCAAGGCCTTGTCCGTTAAATCTGGAGGGAGATCCCGATCTTGCTCCATTCAATGCCGCATTCAGCCCAGTAGCGCCATTCTCCCGTACACCTGGGGATAGACTGCGTGCTCCTTTGCTGGCCTGCTTCCGGAGAGATGCCGGGTCGGCCTTCTCGGGGGCAGCGGCGTTGGCCTCCTCGTCGTCTGGTGCCTCAACACCGTTGCTGCCAAGCTCCTTCAACCTCCTCTTCTCCCGCCGTTCTCTCTCCTCCTGGATGAGGCGTTTTCGTTCTCTCTCCTGCTTGTTGCTGACAACGTTACTCATAGCTGCGGCGGCTCCCAAAAAGTTGGGATGGTTCGTGTTGATGTAAGCGCGTTGGATCGAAATCAGGGATTCTACATATGATGATGTAGGCCCCAGGCGCTCGCGCAGCAGATCGGAAACAACCTCGATCAGCTTTGCTTGCAACCGAGGAAAGCGAGAAAGCTCAGTTGAACCGCATGTGTGGCATATCTTGATCAGCTCCTCGTAGACGAGCTCGACACATCTCTGGCTGGGAATTTCAAGAAGCTTGATTTGTGGCTTCACGAGCAGGTCAAATGCCATTTCCGGCACAAACAAGCTGGGACGAGGGCCGGTGGAGTTGCGGATAGCCGTGCGGATATCCAAAGCTGAGAGGTTTGACGTTGGGTCGATAGACTCGAGAGACATGCCAAAAACCGAATTGAAGATGTAGTAAATGCGGGCGCCACCACACAGCTCCTTGGTGGAAATTTCGGTCGAGGTACCGTCAATGGATGAGATGAATGACGTGGCGAATCGTGTCATCTGTTGCAGAATGAGGGACCCGCGGTGCTCTTTGCCGCTGAAATGCATGTCGCCATAGCTCGCTAATTCCTGTTGCGTCTGACCCATCAGGGTGTTGAGTCGCGCTTTGATGTCAGGCATGCGCTCGCGAATATGAGCCATGAGAGTGGTGTTCAACGTTTTAGCCAAATAGTGAGTTCCGCAGCGACTGGCAATGTTGCGGTACGCCGGGTGATGGCGGAAGAAGTCCGACTCAGCCTTGAGAGCCTCTTCCATAGGTTTGTTCCCCTGGATGTCTTGCTGTGAACGGTTCACAACACCGATAAAGCCCAACTTTAGGGGATAGACTCTGCCGGACAAGATATCCAACGCATTTGTGCCATGGTCCATCAGGTCAACCTTGGTGAGTACACCGATGGTCCTCCTTCCCAGAGGATCAACATGCCGAGCAAGCTTCAGAGCTTCCGAGTTCACGATATCAACGTTCGCGGGGGAGACGGCGAGAATGATACTGTTCGGCTTGGCAATGTATTCTGAGATGAGATTGCGCGTCTGCTTCTCGATGTCCGTGGGCTGATCACCGATGGGAACCTGTCGAATAACGTCAGAACGACGGTGTAGACCGGGTATGCTTTAGGAAGAAGTTGGTAGTACCTTTGTGAGTCCTGGTAGGTCGACGAGCGTCAAGTTGAGGACATGCGGGGAGTAAATCTTGAGATTGATAGGCTGCCGGTTGATGCCCTTATTATTGCCAGCCACACGGGACGTTTCGTTCTCGATCTCGCGCTTCACGTCGGAGAAATCAGTGAAACGGCGGTTGGGAATATGATGGAATTCGGCCCATTCGGATCGCCGGGCAACATCGGGGGACCGGTACGGGTCTTGCAGAGGATCCGCGGCGTTTTCGTCTTCGGGAACATTGATCAGTTGCAAGATCAAGGGTCGTCTGGTGACGATGCCACTTCCGCGCGGCAAGAAATCACGGCCGACGATGTTCTCCAGTACGGATGATTTCCC